CCCCGTACCGGACCAGGGACCGGCAACGGGATTGCAAGCCTTGGTGTTGCTCCCGCGCCTCTCTCAGCCAGTGAGCGGGAGCCGGCCTGCACGTGGGATCCGAACCCTCGGACGGGAGCGCCACCGCGCTTCCCAAGCGGCGCACTGCGGCGCACTATCCAGTGCGCCACCGGGCCGGCCCATTGCAAATTGTTTTTGATATGGGAGAGAGAAGAAAATGGGACAAAATGTTTATAATTGGTACATTGAGATGAAAAGTATAGGTTTATCATTATATTATTTTTTCATTATTTATGTGAGTTTGAAAATTTCAAAATAAAAGGTTGAGAGATAAACTGGTGCATCAGAAATACCTGTTAGGCTTTGGTAGGGGTTGGCCAGTGAGCTCAGTTGGTTAGAGCATGGCATTGATAACTCCAAGGTTCCAAGGTCCAGGGTTTGATCTCTGTACTGGCCAGATGCCAAACAACAGCAACAACAACAAACAAAACCCCCAAACCAAAAAACCTTGAAAAACAAAACTAAACCAGGGGGTACTTTGAAAAGTTCATAGAAAGCAGGACTAAAAGATAATACAAATCTTTCCATGAACAAGCAGGACTAAAAGATAATACAAATCTTTCCATGAACTTTTTGAAATACCCACATATACAGTTGTCTGGTCCCCACCTCTGAAATCTATTGATTTGGGTTCAGGAAGTCTAGGTGGTGAAGCTCAGATGTAGGTGTTTTTATGAAACTGCAGATGATTCTGATGTGCAGTGTCTTAGGTCGGGTTTCCTTGCAGCCCAGTCTAAGACCATGTGCTTCACTAGGCAACAGATCTCAAAGAAAAGTAAGGAAAGAGGATAGCACAATGGAGAAAAGCCAGGCAGGAATGTGGCCTCACTACAGACTGGCTCAAGCTGATCACGAGGGCAAGCTGAGCTGTGGAGTGCAAGCCACACCACAGCCTCAGTCCCATCTTGAGGCAAGGGCTGACCTCCTGTATTGGTCTGGAAGAGGGGCTGGTGTGCTGGGAGGTAGCTACCCAGCTAAGAGTTATCCACCAGCTCTTCAGAGGGGCACAGGAGCCCCTCCAATCGGGGGACCAGGCAGGCTTCACTGCGTATGCCGAGTGTTGGAAGGCACCACTTCTGTCAAAATGGCATGGGTTAGAAATTTGCTGCTCCTTATTTCATATGTCCCATCTCTCCAACTAGAGTGCAGGGACCATGCCTTACTTAGGCTGTTAACATCCTCTGCAGAGTTAGCACAGTGTTGGGCACATTATAAACAACTGATAAATTCTTGCCGGCTAAATGACTTGGCCTGTTCACATTCTTGCAGTAACATCTACCCAGGCCATAAAAGGAATCCCCTGAGGAGACAGGGTTCCTTGACTCTGGCGTTGGGAGGAGGAGAGCGTAGGATGAATTGTGGAGGGCTGGGGCCTAACACGTGCTCAAGAATTCTACGTTTTGCTGTCAGCTCTTCTTTTTCATTATCTGCTCTGTATCAAAACTGTATTTAAAGCAATGCATATTATCTTAGTTGGAGTCTCCTCAGAAGCAAACCCTGAGACAAGGATTCGAGTAGTTTATTTGAGAGGTGATTCCAGAGCACAGCAATAGGAGAGTGGGGACTGAGGTGGCCAATACAAGGCACAACAAACGAGTTACCACCAGGGGTGCTGGGAGCTCAGTCCCTCTGGGAAGTTCATTTTCAAACCCAAGAGCTATGGAGCTGTGCTGTTTATATGCCAACCACATCAAACATGGCTTGAAGGCTGCACTTGAGGGGTTGGAGAGGTCTTTAATTCTCACACTCCTGGCCAGTGCTTCATGGGGGCAGAGCAGTCTCTGGTCACCAGAGAAAGGCCTCCAGTGAAGCAACACAAAAACACTACAGTGTTGAGAGAGCAGTCTCTGCACCCCCTTGCCTGTCTCATGTTACCTGCATGACATCCCCTCAAGGAGCAGCATGCCCTCTTCTGTAGACCAGGGAAGGGAGACCAGAGCAGGCGCAGCAGCTCCCACATGGTAAATATTTAGCAGCTGGCAAAGTGGAATTTGAACTCTGATGCGCCCTGTCCCAAGTCTGAAATGGCTGCGACGGGGATGCTACTAGAGATTTGTGTTGATGTGACTGTCACAATTGCTACTACTGGATGAGTGGATGGTAAAAGACATTTGGCAGCTCTCTTCAGGACAGCGCTCACTGGTGACTAAAACTCCCTCGGGTGTCAGTAATTTGGAAAAGAGCTTTGAGGCAGCATATACCCTTCTAAGTCACAAAGGCCAGCCTGTCTAGAGAGCCATTCATGCAGGAGCCAGCTGGCGATGAGTGATTTCTCAGGAACTGCCTGAGCCTCCAAGAACAGCCGTCGTTCTGTCGGTCTCAGCTCCAGCCAGCGTGGGGTTCCAGTGACTGCCTTCTCGCCCTCCACATCGGCACCAGGGCCCTCGCCCATGTCATTCTGCACCTGTCCAGCTGTCTGTCAGGGCCCTGACAGCTCTCTTCTAGAGGAGTTTTAGCTCTGCGGTGCTGCTTGAAGACTTTGGCAGTTCAGGAGCACAAAATAGAAAACTAATGGGGAAGGGCTAAGGTGAGAAGAGATAGACTTGGAGAAGAACTCCGAGTTAATTCACTAGGTTAACAGGCTTGAGAGGACAAGCTTTCACTGTTGCAAGAATTTCTGTGTTCAGGATGTTCATGAGTCTCTGAAACCTCTGGATTATTTTTTGCTGGTTTCACCAGGAATGTATGCTGGGTCACAGTGTTGATCAGTTCTGGGGCATTCATGTGAAAGTCTGTGTCCACTACACTGTCCACATTCTGTGTTCACTGGGTCAGCCTGGGTCTGGAGCTGCATCTCCATTGCCATAAAGCAGTAGCAAAGAAAAGCTCCCATATGTCTATATGAGAATTTATAAATAACATATGTCTAATTGTAAGAATGTGTTGTTTGCATTATAAAACTCACATGTACATATTTTCAAGGGACGGCATTAAAATGTAAATAGACATGCTAATATTTTCTTCTACGTCCCTGATGGACAAACCTACACCTCTTTTGAGGTGTAAGCATTCTAGTTTGTATATCACTGCTGTAGACATGATTACTTCGTTTTCTTGGTTTTACTTAATACCACTTTATAAGACCAGAGATTCAGACAAGACAAAGCTTCCGGGTAGGAAGTGTGCAGAGCCACTCAGAATGCAGGTGCTCTGGAGTCAGAGAGACTCAGGTGTAAGTTCTGGCTCCATTAACTATTGGCCACATGACCCAGCCTTGCTCACAGAACTTACTGAGCCCCAGTTGTTCACCCATAAAGCAAACCAGAT